TAGTAGTCCACAGGCACGTTGTTTGCATGGAGAAACAGCGTCAAGTGCTTAGAATTAGACATAAGAATGTTCTACAATGCGTTACAAACAGCCATTGCTTGTTGAAACGTCTGTCGCGACAACCAATTAGAAGTGTTAATGATATTATTTATGCTTCTGATGCTTGGTTGTCGCGACAAACGTTTCAACTAGAGTCCCTGTAAGAGAGTTGTGTCAATCTTGTATAAATTTTCATTGACGTAAATTTTCTTTGAAGTAAAATGGCGGAACCAATCATCGATGCTGTTGTATCCCCATTTTTGAGTAATGTGAACGTAGTGATTTAGATTTTAGAAGTTGTAAGAGTAGAATTTACGTTAAATTATATAATATTGATAAGTAGAATTTATGTTAAATTACAAAATATTGACAGAAGTAGATCTGTTTTCTATAGCTATATTATAGTAAAATTATATGACATTAAAATTATGTGATTGATGACAAGGTTAGAATGTCACTTTCGACTATATAATATCTGTATCTTTTATATATTTTTAATTCGAAAGCTTTATAATAATGTATAGACTTACTTATAATTTATAACTTTGATAAGAGCTGAGTCGAGAAAAATATCGGGACTCCACCGGTGCCGGGACTTAAACTGAGGCCTCGTTGCCGTTCGTATTAGCAAGCTTTCGTCCATAGAGATAGTAGTACTAGAGTACGCATTGTAGGAGTGGGGGTAATCCTATCTAGAAAAGGACGCACTCATTTGGGCCTTTTCGTTCTCTCTCGTTTAGCGCATGCGTATAGCCATATACTCTGAGAGAGGGAATCGAAAGAAAGAACGAGTCGAACGAGAAAAGTTTCATCATTACATGACCGGACAAGCCTGATTGAGGGTGCGATCCACTAGACACTTCAAACGCTTCAGACGCTATTGCTACAAATACTTCCGATAGAGTGATCCGTTAGCGTTACTAACGTTGCCAATACTACACAAGTGGATCAATCGTGAAGTGTTGGAAGCGTTATTATTGAACGTAACCTGCTAAAAAATCTCGTAACCATCGTATTCCTAGGCTGCGGAAGACATAATTCATGTTAATATGGAGACGAACGTGGCATTACGTGGTTATATTATACATTCTTACCTTCATTAACCTTTCTTGCATCTTCTTCGGAAACTTCTAAAGTATGAATATCTCCGGTATTAACATCTATTAATTGTATAATCGGCATTACTTTTAATTTCGATCAATATAAAACGTTAAAACCAAACGAAATCACGAAACACAGGTTATAGTTAATCGATATTTCTGATTATTTCCCGCGCTTTTGTGCATTCAAAATATCGCTTCAGCCGTACTACCTCTTCGGCAGAAGCATTTGCAGCACGCTGGAAGCGAAAACCTATGACGTAATATATGACGTCGTATCTGCTATAGAATCGCTTCGAAGGGTCTAGTGGATCACATCTGTAGCACTTCGAAGCGTTTGAAGCGTCTAGTGGATCGCACCCTGAGCCTGATCACTTTGGAATCAAACAAAGAATTGAGTTTGATAAGGTTAAGGGCTCTCGATGAATAATATCAATAAATATTAATGATAAAAATCTATTACTTATACCTCTATAATTCCAGTTATGCGAGCATATTGGCCAGCACCACCAGATTGTTTCTTATAAAGATAGTCAAATTCACATGGTTTAGTTTAGTGTCCCTCTAATAAGAGTCTGGACACGTGAAGTCCGCCATTATTCGTCGAAATTGTGCGAAAGAGAAAAAATCATGCTATCTCATTCTAGTGGCGCTGTAAGTTGTAGCTGATTGTAGCTCAAACTTCATAGTTTCCGTTTCTGTTTCGTCTCGCCCTTAGAACATATAGTACTGGAAGGAGCATAGGCATATGGTCCCTGTACATTCGGTTGAAGCCGAGAAGATTGACAAGGATGGAGAGATTAAGATCGTAGATTGTAATGCGCATACTCCATACGCGTGCGCGGTGGATTATCCACCGTGGATGCTAGACTAGAAAGCACGTTAATTATTTGCGAACTGTGTTTGGTTCTGTTTGGTTCTATGAAAATTATAAGTGATTTGTGGCAATGTATTGCTATATTTGCAAAGAAGAAAATCAGGCGTCTTCATATCACTTGTAAGTTTAATTATTTGTGAGTATAGTATTAATATGTGGCGTCGAGTGGTTCACCGCTCTGTGCGATTGACTCGCGATTTGTAGACCCGAGTTCAATCCCACGTGCGCCCAAACGCGATTTTTCGCGTTTAATGAGCCAAAAAATGGCTCCATCTGGTGATCAAAAGATCTATGACCATCAGCGCCGTTCGGATTCGGCGTTAAACTGTAGGTCCTATACATCAGTATACATCAGTAGTATACATATCAGTAGATATTTGTCTCTAATATCTGACTGAGGTAGGATTCTGTGGATCAATCACCCACAAATCCGAAAAACAATTTGATTCGAGAAACGAATATAGGCCTCGGGCAAAAGAGGTCTATAGACGTCCTATGCATATATGTAATACTACTATATGGCTAGTGCCTATAAGAGGGAGTGAGAGGAAGCGGTCCCAGAACCACGGTGCGGGAATATATATTTCCCTCTCTTTCTAAGAGTACTTTGAGTGTTGTGCGCATGCGTTGGATTGATTGCATCCGCCAATAGGAAAATAGAGTGCGATCAGTGAGATGACGCGAACAGGTTATGCTCGTTATGCTTATTAGATGTGTGCTGTTGTACACAGGCAAAAATGGTCAAGATATGTTATTTATGTGGCAAAAAGCCTAATTCGCCTAATGCGACTGAAAACATTAGTTTGCATAGGTATGAAATAGGTATTAGTTTGCACTGATTATCATGAAATTTCTGTAAGGGATTGCACTGTATTCTTATATACATAACGGCAATTTTGAAAAAGTTTATTTCATAAAATTAGGATTAATTTATTTATTCCGACTAAACTGACTCTGTTAACTGTAACAAGGTTATACCCTGAAGCGGAATCAATCACTTTTTCCTTCTTCCTTACACATATATGTATATTTATCCTTCTATTTATTATTGATGGAGGGGATGAATCCGACGCATGCGCACAACGTTCAAAGTACGCTGAGAAAGAGAGAGAAGTATATTCCCGCACCGTGGTTCTGGGACATGGACTTCTCTCTCATCTAGCCATATAGTAGTATTACATATATGGTCCTATGCTCCACATAAGGAGATAAAAGGAGTCGTTAAGTTATAGTATTAATATACGGAATTTATAATGTTAGTTAATTTTCATAAGGATTGTTTTTGTTGTCATACAATTCTAACATGCTTAGCACAAGCTACAAATAGACGTAGTTATCCAAATAGTTACATACAACAGTGCAGTGCAAGAAAGTTAATTCCAGTATAATTAATCACTTGTATAAATGAAATATGCAACTTTCTAATAAATCAAAATGTTACTCTCTATGATGATGTTCTGATAACTCATCAAAAGAATCACCGCAATTTTCAGTTTTCTTAATTGAAATTTATTAGCCTTTAACCTTAAATTCATATATCAAATGTACACTGCAGCTGACAGCTGTGTTAATAACATGTATCGACAGTTTAATAGGCATATCGAACTTTCGATACAGTCATGAATTTTGCTCATTAGACACGGTACGCTTGCCGCGCTGTGTAAGTTGGTGCCACGGAGTAAAAGAAAGACCAAATATTTCATACGCATTATCATGTGGTATATATAATACTTCCAACTTTTCCCGCAATGACATTAAAATCACATCGCCCCGATTTTCTATTTCGAGCCCATACTTCATCCTCAAGTTTGATCTATTTATTCCGTGGCTAATGCGATAGCCAACCAAATCATTCGTGGAAAGAATCTGTCTTTTTAAAATATTCATCGTCAGTTGTATTAATAATAGAAGAATATAAAAAATATTTAGTATAGGGACCTTTTCATATTGACGCTCGACACTCATTTTCAATGTCAAAATAGGTCACGTGATCAAAATTGACACTTGACAATCGTTAATTTCTGACACGTGACTTATTTTTAAATAAAAAAGAGCGAAAGTATGAAAGGGTACCTTAATGGTTACTATGTGTCGAATTATCGATATAAATAATAATCGATACAATTCGTCTGATATTTTTGGTATATCGATATTTTTATTTATGATACATAACAATACAGAATATCGATATCTTTTAATGTATCGCCCATCCCTAGTAGTATATAAAAGATATGTCGAAGTGTTGTAAAACAGCGACATCTGGCTATTTTGTTAGAGTTCGAGCTTTTCTTTAAGATTCCCTTAAGCAATATTTTTTTAAATAATAGGATTTAAATATAACTAATGACAGACTATATTTAAACGGCCGCCTGTCCATGAGTTGCGTGTTTATTAGTATTCGTGACTATTGGTAAACGCTCACTTATACTTACATGAGACCATCTAAACGTAGTCTGTAAATGGCCATATTTAAACCGTTGTATTTCAGAAGATAGTGATTAAAAAAAATTAAAATTTACAAATAACTTTTTTATATATTTAAATTCTCGAAAACTTTCTTGTTATAATATAATATTTCGAGTCGCGAATTTTGGTACACGTTTCATATTATACAGATATTATGTAATGGATTGATTAAATCAATAATTGCGATTCTTGTTAACGTATATATTCTAAGTTATTATTTCTATTATATTTTATATTTGGATTATAATGTTACATATACATATACCTATATATACATATACCTATATATACTCTTTAAAATTTCTAGACTGTCTGAAGAATGATGTCTCACTCTTAAAGATTAAAAATCAAACCACTCTTTTTCAAGACTAGCTCAATTTTTACTTTTTAAAATGAGATTCTACTCCAAAAAATCCAGCTTGACCGTTACGGCATGTTTTCGTCGGTATTCATTGGTTTAAATTCTCACGGGGTCCAATAACATTTGATATTAATATTTTTCTTTTTCCCTTATTTAGACATAGCGCACGGCAACTTCACGCTCGAGGAAGCCCCGACCACCGAATCACCTATCCAGAGTGATGTCTTCGTCGAGAAGAACGGCGCTGCCGAAGGCGAACTACCGGTTTCGACTGCGAAACACGACGATCCCACGTACATGGCGATTGTGATTGGCGTGCTGACAGCCGTAATACTTTCACTCGCCGTGGCGATATTTCTAATTGTTTCGCGACACAGGCAACGCAAGTGCTTTGCTAGCCCTATGACTGGTAAAGCTCCTTCGCATTTAGGATCCACCTGCGCCACAGTCGAGAAAGGCGCAGCTCTAATGGCGTACACCTTAGAGGATGATGAAAGGTATAATCAATTACTTGATGAAAAAGAAAAAAATAACCGTCAGAGGAAAATGAAACTATTAAAAATAATACAATCTTAAGTAATGTAAGAAGAATCCCCGAGATATCGTTTTTTCAATGAACGTTTACGTGTATCTAACATTAATGTAATTTTTTTTACGATTAAAATATGCTAATTGTTAAAAGATAAAATAAAATTGCATGTTTGATTTCAAAAAATAATATTCGAGTAAAAACAATATTTTTTGCGATACAATATTTTTATTAAAATATTTAAATGATACTTTGAATAACTCTTCTTTTACAATAAATTTATTAGTTATTGGCAGTAAGCTCAAACAACTTTGAACAGTGTTTATTATTTTTACCAACATCAAGAAACGCGGTAGTGTCTCCAGCCATGTTCAAAAACTGAAAGACACTACAAGTCTCTTATCCCGAGCCACCAAAGTCCATTTTTCGGGGGTGCATAACTACTAAATTATAAAAAATTTTGAATCGAATGTTCTATGTTCGGAAAGGCAACATCCCTACGCGTAATTTGAGCAAAAAAAATTTTAAATCGGTCAAGACGTTCTAGAGATACAAGCGATCGAAAAGTGATGATTTTAATGAAAAATTAAGAAACGTCTTCTTCTTCTTCTCCTCCTCCTTCTTCTTCTCTATCCGCATTCAAGGCCATATTAAAACTTTCTAACATCCCCTCACACCTTCATCTTCGACCCACCGCACCCTCTCCCCCATCACTCACCCCCACCACCCCTCTCTTTCGCCATATTTTACTCTTTTGTTATAGGTATAATATTTTTAACCAATATTAAAATCGTTTTTAAGACCGTACAATTGATAAACAATAAACAAACAAGGAGAAGAAAGCCAATAACGATCAAAGCTAGATCACAAATGCTTATTAAAATTATGTGTGAATTTTATATACTGCGTATGTAGTCCCCTAAATCGCGTGCCGAAATTTTTTCAGACTTACAACGCAACACTAAACAACTACCGCAGTAATATCACTTTAGTTAAATTGACAAACAATCCAACAATTTTTGATGCTTATAGCATCTTATTGGATCTTAATAATAAGTTGAAAGATATCTTTAAAATTTAACGATGTAATGTTAAAGTAATAATAAATCAAATCTATGAATATAATATTTTTAAATCATTTTTTTATATATTTGTGATATAGTTGTACTCTAAAAGTAAGTATTGAAAAGGTTCAGAAGCGGGTACTTAAAAGAACGACGGCACTTCTATTGAAACCTTTTAATAATTCAGAAGAGTACAAAACGGAGATACAATGCACACCGAGTCTCGCGAGCGTGTGTTTGAAAAACGAGAAAGAAGGAATAATTGCGTGAGACGCGCAGGCGCGAAACGATAAGACGAAAGATCGCGAGGCAGCGTCTCGTCGAGAGAGAGATCGAGTGTGCGAACAAAGACGAAGATGCGCGATCTATAAATGTCGCAGCTAAGATTTTGCTTACGAGTAAACTTTGAACAAAAAAAGAAAATATGTAGGGCTTAGATTAATTCTAACAGAAAGTGATTCGAAAAAAATCATATAATAAAAATGAAAAGTTCAAGCCATGTTCAAAAAAGGATACTCAATAATTTAAACCTTTTTATCCAAAAATAATATATTACCATAAAAAGTAATTGATATATTATTAAGTAAAGGTGCCAGTACAAAGTGAACATACATAGCGCATGTAACTTTCGACCGATTTTCGAATCGCCTCCGCCTTCCGCTGTCCCCTCATCTCACCGCTTCGCGCGCAGATCAAATGTTGCTCGAGCGTCGTGCGGCATTTGGACGAAAGTTATATACACTTTAGGTATGTTCATTTTGTACTGGCACCTTTACTTAATAATATATCAGATACTTTTCATGGTAATATATTATTATTGGATATTCTCATTTATTACGCGGTCATAGACGTCTAGGCAGCCGGATATAAGATCATGCGAATATTCGCTTTTGCATCGCGAAGCGTGTTTAATGATAATACACAACCGCTGTATGAGACCGTATTCCTAATTTCTTCCATGTTTATGTCCACAGAAATACGCTCAGATGACGAAAGCGGCCTTCCATTAAACTTTCTATCCACCATGCTCGTTAGCGAACGTCCAATAACGTCCAATAACGGACATCCTCGGGCAATATATCGAGTTTGTGCGGCACGAATGTCTCCAAAGGAGATGCTCCTCCAGCCGCCTCGTAACTCCGAAGCATCCCGCACCAGTTTCGGCATTGATCCCCCTCCTTCCAACTCCCCTGTCCGCTTTGTGCAATCCGATATTGCAGTTACGAGCTTCGTACCGAAAGAGAGAACGTGTAACGTGCAACTTCAAGTAGGTGTACGAATGTTACGCTGAACCTTTGACGGACCGCGTATTCCGCGCACATAATACTGAAATTTCCAAGCGGAAAATATGGTGTTCTTGAAAACCAAAGATTTGTACGATTTGCTAAGTCAGAATTATTTCAATATATTGTGTATCATATATGCAATTCTTTTTAAATGCAATGCGAATTATAATATCTCATCGCATTAATATTATATTTCACAATATTTAAGTAAAACTATTATATTTATGTATATACAGGATGTTTCTTTTAATTTGATCATTTAAAATATTTCCGTTGTTTTTGATAATACGGAAAAATACTACAGGGAATAGTTTGATTGGAAGGGACACGTATTATGATCACGGTTGCAAGATCTCCAGATTTCGACTGGATTTTCCAATTTTGGAGACTAATCTCCAGTTCTCCAGTTGACGGGAAAAATTTCTAGTTTTTCACTTGCGTGGAATATTTATTAATTCCATTATCTAGTGATTGTGATTGTATTGACACTGGGAGCTTTTCAGCAAAGGACACAAGCGATCCAGTGTGACACATCGAATCATTACATCCTTGTTGTTTGATATACATACATCAGCATTTGCGTAAAGTTATAACAAAAGATGCCTAATGTATGATATAATTTGACTATATACGCGTAAATGGTAAATGACAATAATAGGTTGCATGTACAAAAAGTAAAAATATACGTAATATCATGAAAAGAAATCTGTAGCTTATATTTTTCCGTGACTATCAATGAACGAATAATCTCGTATAATATACAAGGGTGAGGTATTTAAAACAAATCACCTGAATAACTCGCTTGTTTGTAACAATAGAAGGAATAGTATGAAACAAAAGTTGCTTGGTTTCGAGGGGTACATAATGTGATGTCAATAATTGAGGGGATGCGGCGAATAACGGAATAACTCGAAAAATGACGTTTTGAGAAAAACGCAAAAAACGTAGAAAAGTACTTTATACATATTATATCGAAAAACTGTTTGGCTGATAGTTAGATAATGATATTATACCTTAAATCATTATAGAATAATACAAAAAATTATACAGAAATCAGTAAAAAACTGGATCATAAATTTCGAGTTATTTCGACTTATTCCGTTTTTCCGAATATCGCATTCAGTTTTGCGTTAAAAAAATAGATTTACATTAAAATAATTATGTCAAAATATGTAGCTACAAGTACATATTTTATTAATGGAATAATATAAAAAACGAAATAATTCGAGTTATTCCGTTATTCGCCGCAGCTCCTCAATTGTTTTGTAGGTGAAGGCATAAAGGTTAAATCCGTTTTTTTAAAGAAGAGAAGACACGAAATTATTCGAAGAGTGCCTTGAAACAATTTATTTTCCATTCAATATTTTCCATTATTGACCTTGCGTAACCTTGAATAACTTTCAATTATAGGTATTCACTGTATTCGTCTTAAAATGCTATATCGAAATATAAATAAAAAAATATATTCCATATCAAAAAAACAGATTTGACCTTTGCCTATCCTTTACACCTCCATCTACAAAACAATTATTGACATCACATTATGTGCCTCTCGAAAACAAGCAACTTTTGTTTGATACTTTTCCTTCTATTGTTAAAAACAATTTATTCAGGTGACTTTTTTTAAATGCCTCGCTCTGTACAATAATATCATACATATAATATCATACAATAATATCATAGAAAATATACACGTATGGGTGGTTATCGAGAACAATAATAAACTCACGAATGAATAAAGTCTTGTCCGACAATCTTTATTAATATAATATAACGAGGTTATATGAGTCCTGCTTATCAGGATAGCTAAACAGCGACTGACGATTCCCGATAGCCAATCCTCGCGACTTCGGAAATCCGCGTGTCGGTTACTTCTACTACGGAAATTTCCGGTAGCGACAAGCTCGCGCAGAAGCCTCTCGAACGTTCTTCTTAGAACGATAACTAACTTACATACTAATAATTAAAATATGCCTACAGCTTGACCATTCTGACATTTTGACCGTCTCGGTCAAAGAAACAAAAAATAATCGCACTTATAATTAACATACAAATAATATTTCGCAATTACACATCAGTAACATAAAACTAACAACGAAGATAAGGTCGCATCTGATCCGGCGCTATAATACCGGTATACGGTCGGTGAGTTAACTGAAAACAATCAACATCAGAAATGACATATCGATCATAATCTAAAATTTTTCGAATAACATATGGTCCCTTAAACTTAGGTAATAACTTCTTATTTATACTAGGTGTAGTTTCAACATTTCTTATTTCTACATAATCACCTATCTTGTACCATTCGCGCGCAGCTTTTCTTCGCAAGTTGTATCTTTTGTATTCTCGAGTTGTAATTTCTTGATTTTTGTATTAGCTTTACTTCGAATCTGCTCGAGGTCACGATTTACATCTGCGCTAAGTATATCTCGTAACAGGTCACAGGTTACGCCTTTTTGTTCAACTTCGAATAATAAACGGGAAGGGATCATCAGTCGCTCGACAGACGGTATTATTCAACGAGTATTCGACTCAATCTAGAATTTTATCCCACTGTGAAGGGGTTTCGCTCAACTTCGCTATCGGTGTTATGACTCTATAGAAACGTTCTACTT